TATGTGGTATATTCAAAGATGGTTCACTTGCTAAACGTACATTTACGGTGGTTGTTAGCCAGCTTTGAGCAACAACTTAAAGCAGTTGTTTTGGCAACAGTTATCCTCCTTATTTCATGTAGCGAATTTGTCCATCTCGTCGACGTCAGTACCAGCATCAGCATCAGTGCATCGACGGCAGCAGTAACAGTGATGCCGTCAACAGCAGCTAATCTGTGGCGTTTCCTATGCATATGATGCCTTTTTTCTCTATAAAAAAATCCTTCTTCTTCCACCCCCAACAAGTGATCTTTACTCAGCAACTGAACTATTCCTCCGTGTTTTTTCTTTGTTCATTCAGTTATCTTCTTTTTTTTTTTTTTGTTCACTTCCTTTAAGCATTCCATAGGATTGCGGCAACTGAAATAACGTAACTGTTTTATGAGCCACGCAACAGAAGACGTCATAAATTTGCTGTGGTTAGCAATTAAAACTTGGCAAACTTGGTTAGCAAACTTGGTGATCGCACTGAAGGCTGATCATTTCTGCCCCATTAAGACAGTTTCTCTGGTCGAGAAATTGATTTCTGAATAACGTTTTTTTTATTTTTTATTTTTTAGTTTATCCCATCTTGTCTTCTACCTATAACTTCGTTGTCTGCCTCCTCATAGTTTCTAGCAGCTTGCTTTAGCCTATATTCTTTTTCACTGTTATTGATGAACAACTTTTCCATCAGTCATCCTTTTTACAAACAACAACGAGTAACTGTTTAAAAAAAAAAGTATTGACAGGTTGATAAGATATTCCATTTTACTCTGCTTTTTATTACATTGATTAAAAACAATACAAAATAAAATTATTTTCTATTTATTGCCTATTGGAATAAGCAAAATTACGTGGGACATTTTATAAACGATCCAGGGCCAACTTTATTCAAACTGTTGGAGTGTTTAAGTTTTAGCTGAAGAAAAAACTTATAGATATTTATATATTTTTTTGGAAAAAAATAATATGTATTCAGCAGTTTGAAAATGGTTGTAAATTTAAAAACTGTTATAGATAAAAATATGCACATATGCTTTGTTAAACTAACTTGAAATGGGATAAGTAAAACAAAATGATATATGATCAATCATTGTTGAGCTCTACAGATTTGTGGTGTAGTTTTTTTTTTGGCAAAAGTACAAATACTTTTATTTGTGCGACAATAGTAATATGGCAGATACTACTAAATTTTTAAGGTTATTCAAAATTCTAGAAAACTCCTCAGGTAAAAAATGTTTTGTGCTAACCACCAGTTGATACTTCTATCAAGTGTAGGCTACAAAGTTCATTTTTTTATCTTTCACATAAAACAGTTGGCACTGTTTAAATATTAGTAAATTGAGTTGAACCAAATGTTCAAGGGCGAGACACAGGAGATCAAACTGTTCCTCTCTGTATTTTCAAAAGTATCAACTCACACAACGAAAAATCAATTACAATTGTTGAAAAAAAGAAACAGTTTTGCTAGAAATTTAGTGTGGCAGTTTAATTATAAATTTTTTAACTGTAATCTGTATGTTTTAATCATATTTTTGAAGTTTTTTCGCATTCGCTTCTGTAGGTGATTACCCCTTCCATAAATATGTCGTCTGGGTCAGAGTATTTTTTTCATGATAACTGTTAAGTTTTTAGTTATATCGAGCAACCGGCTGGATAAGAAGCTACCATAATATAAAACGATGGCTTACGAATCGTTAACTGTTCGAATGAGCAGAAGTAGCTCTTCGATTCCATGGGGTCTTACGTTACGCGCTTCTGGATCTGACATTGTCATCAACACAGTTACGTTTACACAAACAAGAAATTTGAGTAAAATTAAGCCTCGAACATAGAACTAATTTTGTCATTTTTCTATTATTTTTTCCGCCGAACGGAAAGAAAAAAGTGGCACCGGAGGGTTTTAGCTGCTAGAAGAGATTTCTTATCTGTTAAACAATTTCACCAATTCATTTTACTTTTTAAAATCTTAGTTGTTACTAGTGGACTCTTCTGAGTTATAACCTGCTCTTTCATACAGTGGTAAATTTTTCAGGTTGAAAAAGACAGCCTTGCTGATAAGGCTGGAGTTCAACCAAACGACAAGGTTGTGGAAGTGGCTGGTATAAAGGTTCCACAGCTGACATTAAATAAAGCTAATTCACTTCTGTTGGAACCTTCAGCAGAATTTAGATTTGTATTAAGCAGGTATAGATTTTTAACCTGTTTAAATTAAATTCTATGTTTAATGAGAGTTTCGGGAAATGACTGTTTTTTTTTATTTCAAATATTCACCAAAGTTCAATGTTCACATACTGTTTTATAGGTATATAACGTCGCATCCGTCATTGCCATGGAACTTAACAGAAAAAGAGAATAAGATAGTTGTCGATCAAGTGAATCCACCAAAACTAACACAGTATTCTTACTTACCACAATCGTACAACGAAACAGTGTCTTCGTCGAAGGTTCGCAATACTGACTCAGTTTTTTACAAGAACTTTTTTACCTCGGAATCTTTACAGACAGATGGTAAAGTTTCACAAAAATCAATGGAATAGTGCTGCAACAGAATGAGTTTTTCAAATTTTCTTTCACATTAACAGCACTGTTACTGATTAAATGTCGTAAAGAAAATTATTTGTAATAATTTTTTCACACGTAGTGCAAATATTTTCAGTAATATTAAAATATTGGTTGAACAAGGTTTTTGAAATTTTTTGAGGAAGCCGAAAGTGTACGCAAATATTTTAATAAAGTACTAGAATATATGGAAAGGATGACTATAGTTTGGCATAGCCATAAACGTATCGGTAAACTGAGCAGTAGACAGGAGAGTAAATTATGTTTTTTTCTCAAGTAAATTAATTGTGACATAAAAAGATTAACAAACATTGGTTGAAAAGTATCCTTAGCTATAAATATTTTAGCATGAAGTAAAAACTTCTATTCCGAGGCCAATAGCCCTTGGTTACGAGCCAGCACCTTTTAAAAGCCCAACCAGCACGAGTGCTATTGATGACCACGTTATTCAGCAAAGGCATAACTTTCAAAATGAGTACAATACGTCAAGCTACACGAAGTGATTTGCGGTTTTTCTGTACAGTTTAGATTATAAACACTTTTTAATGAAAAGAAAAAATTAATATTTATTGTGTAGTCACTAAACTGATTGAACTAAATACTAAGTAACTGTCAATTCTTTTTCTGTATTTTTCAGAAAAGAAACTGTTGCTGCAGACACTTACAAACCAGTTTCGTTTACGACAAATCTCTCCACTTATAATCAAAAAAATGCAAATTCTGGATTTGGTCCGTACGTTAGTGACAGTAAATCTACGGAGCATCATCGTAAAACGGAATATCAAACCCAAACTAATACCACTCGTTCGGTGCCCATCCAGAGTAATGTCAGTAAAGTATATACTGCTTCGTTTCCAGCAGCAAATCGTCAACAAACATTTACCCATATGGAGTATCAAGGTAACCGTTATTTGGAAGCTCGGTAACAATTGATTGTTTAAATACAAAAGTCGAAAAAATTTACTATTTTTGAATTAATTTCGATAAAAAAGAAAACGGGATATTAAGCAGTAGTGACAAGCGAAACGTGAAGGATAACGTAACAAATTTGTTTGATAGTAGCATGTAAAAGTGGATAATTTTTTTTTTGTGAACCGGAACAAAGACTAAGTAAAAAACATAAATTACCGTGAATGGTTACGAAAAATACAAAAATCTACACCCCAAGCTATTGTTTTCTAAAAGGAGCTACCTGACCGTATAATTTGCAGGCAGTTTTTGAAGAAAGTCATAAAGCTAAATAAAAAGAAACTGAAAAATAATTTTCTTTATAAGAAGGTAAGATTAAATAATAAAACATTTAAAGCAAAATCGGCTTGAAAATAAATTTTCTGAGTTCATTTGTGAAGATCGCAAATAATTTTAGAGAAAAAAAAAATCATTTATTGATATCCATAACAATAAGATTCCATGCCTTTACCTATTAAAAATTATACAAAACTACTCTGCAGTATGCAACGCTTAATTTTCATTTGCTGTGATAGACTTCACTTACGCTGGTAAAGTGCTGTACAAAAAGTTTTAAATATGGGAGAGTTCAAAAAGCATAAACAACTTTGTTTAATTCTGATGAAAGAACTCTAATGACTTCAGCATAGATAAGATTGATGCTGGCTTTTTTTTCGATCTGAATAGTGTTTCTGGTTATGAAAGATTCAGGCAGCCTATATTTACAAAACTGTATATTTATATAGTACACATTTTTTCTTGTAGAGAGCGTCCTTAATTATAAGAGAAAAAGTGAGAGTAACATCACGCTGAACTCTGGAAAGCTGATGACAATGATATAAATCATTTGTAAAATTACGGTTTATTTTTCTCATCGACTTCTATCTTTACAGCAAGAAAACGCATGAATCTCGAAACAAACACTATATTTCGATATGCGATTCTTAACAGAAGATGTAAAATAAAATGTGCATTTAATGTTGAATTAAAATTGTTTATTCAGTCTGAAATTTCGTTGTTTTTATCTTTCTTGATTATTATTTTGTTCTACTAAAGGACCGAAAACAGCATTCCGTCATTCGCCCAGGACGGTTCGTCAATTGTCGCCAACTGCATCTATAAAATACCTACATTCAAACCCAGCAACTGCTTCTTATGTCTACGAAACTCCAGCTGAGGAATACTTAAGAAAAACTGGTGGCCTTTTTGGTACTGAGTAAGTTTTCTCAAAACATTTAATCATTTTTGAAGATATCGGAGATTGCACAAATTGAAACAATAATATACAAGAAATTTTAGGATGCTTCTTGAAACAGACCAAACTTTTAAGATTTTTCTTATGCGTTGATTCATCATTATTAAGAATATTAAATGATGGTAGGCATAGTGTTTTTTAGTAATGAAAAAATTTGTTAAAGCTGTCATTAAAGATGAATCTGATAAACTGCCTTATAGGAAAAGTTTAGTGGTTTTTTCTGAATGATTTCTAGCTCTACTTCGCAAACGTAGCATTCTAAGCATTTGCTTCAACTGTTTATTTGTGAGTTATATTACATTTAGTTGGAAAAACTAGAAATGTGCAAGAGTTGCTATAATTTTTATTAGTTTTTCAAGTGGTTTTGTTTGCAGCCCAAATTTATCTAAGACAAACCAGTCACCATATTTGACGTCTGAAACGCGACGCTTAATAGCTGAAGAAGAAGGTGCATTAAACCGCCCTGTTTCACCGGCAGCTCAGAGCAGTAGTTTCAAGCGAATCTCACGAGCTGTTGGAACCCCAGTTAGCTGAACTATGCTGACCATGACGAACTACTTGCCAATGAAAAAAAATTGACTAAAAGCTTTACAGATACAAATAAATTAATTGTACAGAGATATTAAACAAATGTTTAGCTGGTATGTAAAAAAAAAAAAAACGTAAGATGACTGATGTTATCCGTAAAAAATTATATTTTACCTTTGTATATTTAAGTGATTTGGATAAAGTTATCTATTTTGCTTTATTTACGTATTGTAGCCAACAAAAACATATCATTTAAAACAGAAAAGCCTGCTGCTAAATTTCTGTGAAAAAAAACCAAATGAAATGTGAAAAAAACGAAAAAATAAAGAGAACAAGGAAACGAATGTTTATTTCAAATTTTGAAAAGTGAGAAAAAAAACTGGGAACTTGACAATAAATTATTCACTCATTATTATTTTCAAACATTCTTTTTTTTTTTCTGGTGCTTCTCAACAAAAAAAAAATGCTTTCTGATTTTCTTCTATGAACCTTTATTTATTTTAAAAAGATTACAAAAACACTGAGTTTTTGTTAGTTTTCTGTTCACTTCTTCTAATTTTCCAGCTGCTCCATCATAACTGTAGAATAGTGCTGCATGAAATTCTGCTGCTAACTGCGACAGATTACGGTGTTGATAGATAATTTATTGATGCAGTTTTGATGAAATGATAACAAAGCAGTGGTGATTTACTGTTCCGCATTATTTGTGCAGTTCTTCTTCATTATCTTGGTTTATCAACAGATTGGCATCTGTAAATTAAAATTTCTTGTCTAGACCTCAGTAATTTTGATTCGCAGTTGCTGTTGGCAGGGGCTCAGTCGAACTTTCGGGATTTTATACAGTTTCAAATCTATGTAATTAAGGTAAGACAAAAAGTTGGCTAGAACTGCGTTACTACAAGACAGTTTTGAGAAACAGGTCAAGTATCTTTGAGAAGATTTAAGGTAGTAACAAGATGAAAACAAGAAACAAGCTTATAGGTTACGTAGATAAAAATTTTCAATAAATAAAATTCTATGGTTGTCACCATATTGATATTTTTCAATTGATCAACGGAAAAAAAAAAGAAAAAGAAATTTTTTTATTGTTTTTCTTTTTGATCAATTAACAGTTAACTGTAAAATTTATTCTCTATTGTTTACCTGTAACGAAAGATCAAAGTAAGTTAAAACAGTATTTTCTATGGACAATTTGTTGAGAAAAAATGCTATTTTTTTAATACATTAATCAATTATTACTACAAAAAATTGAAAGGAACAAGCAAATCAATTTCAGGAATAATTTGAACTAATTTTCAACAATATCAAAATATGCACATATAATAAGCAAACAAAATAAAAATTGGTGGCAAAAAAAAAAATAAATGTAAGAATGAAAAGAAGTCTTACAGATTGCTAACATTTCTGTACTTTAATCATGAATTTGGAAAAAAAATAATCAAAATTTTTGCCTGCTAAAGTGATTGAAATAGCAATTGACAAACTCTCAAAAAAAATATACGTATTTATAACAAAAATTTAGAATGATAAAAAAACATTTGTACTGATTTTGTATGAGCAAAACTGATTCAAAAAAAAAAAAAAAAAAAAAAAAAAAAAAAAAA